TTATATTCAAAATATTGTGTTTGCAGTAGTTGATTACATTGTCTAATAATCTACTAGATCTATACTGTACCAGATTACATTGTGTTTGCAGTAGTTGGTTACATTGTCTATTAATCTACTAGATCTATACTGTACCAGATTACATTGTGTTTGCAGTAGTTGGTTACATTGTCTATTAATCTACTAGATCTATACTGTACCAGATTACATTGTGTTTGCAGTAGTTGGTTACATTGTCTATTAATCTACTAGATCTATACTGTACCAGATTACATTGTGTTTGCAGTAGTTGGTTACATTGTCTATTAATCTACTAGATCTATACTGTACCAGATTACATTGTGTTTGCAGTAGTTGGTTACATTGTCTATAGACTCTACTCTCGTAGCTTACAGTTTCCATAGTTTTTCAAAATAAAAAAAAAAGAAGATAAGAAATAAACAAAAAATGAAGCCGACACTATGTCTAAATGAAATCTGACGAGCTATTTTTTCTTATCCTTATTTCAAGGAAATGTGCGTTCAACGTAACTATTTGGTGTGAAATTTGAAATTCAAAGAATACATGAATGCGCTCAATTTTACATTGTTCAAAACACATAGCCCACTATCCTAAATTTAAACCATTTTAAATCACAGCCCCACAGTCTTCTAAAAATTGACTGCATACTATTCTAAAAGCCAACGCGTATCCTGTTAGTCTAAATAGCCGACTTACACAATATTATAAAATAGCAGGCCTAGGCCTGGGCTAGCGAGAATTAAGTAGCCAACTCGTAATGCTACTGTGCACCACAGTCAGTGACTTAGGGGCTAGAGTTGCCTAAGTAACCAGACAACATAACAAATATCTAAAACTATCCTAAACTGATAAAAAATAAAATAAATATTAATGTAGGCTACACAAAACAAAACATTAAACTTATGTAGCAAAAGCAGACAAAAAGAATAAACAAGGTTACAACCATAGTTTGTGTGAAAACACAATCTCAGAATCGGTCTCTGAAGTGGTCCACTCCCGGAGGTCCTGTGTTCGAATCCTGGAAGACTTGGATTTTTTATTTCGGGCTCTTTGGGTGACTCTTAGTCCAGTCAGCTCTAATGGCTACCTGACATTAGTTGGGGAAAAGAAACAGATGACCTTTACATCATCTGCCCCATATATCGCACGGTCTGAAAGGGGATCTTTCCTACAGGGAACAGAAGCCCTAACAGGAAAAAGAAGAAAAGGTAGACAACATGGGAAGACATCAGAGTGGACAGGCCAGTCACTGGAAGAGATTCTACTTTAAGAGGAAAATGACTGAGTGGAATTAAAGAATTTGTTTCTATTTAAAATATTTTCAGCAGTAGACGCCTAGGCTGGCTCGGGCATGCCCACAGAATACTACAGGGTTGACTTTCAAATGAAATATTTATGGTAATAATGGTGACCTTAAAGAAGGCAAGCGTGACATTAGCTGTTTGGAATCATACCAACAATTGGCAGAAAGAAAAACACGATATATCCACATGGAGGCCAAGTATAAAGGAGTGGTCCTGGATTAGACACGTCATTCTTTCGGACGTTTTTATGTATCCTAGAAAAGTTATTCCTGCAGTTAGTGGAAAACAGTAGAAACCCCGCCCTTGCCAGCTAGGGGGTCTGGGGGCTTCGCCAAGCATTATTTCCTGTACCTGAAACAAAAAACTTTGCATATTCTGAGGTATTTATATAAAGTACAAAAAATTGCAACTCACAAATTTTCGTTTCATAAAACTCTTTAATCGGCCAGTCTATATTTATTTATGTCTATGATAGTACATTATACTGCTACTCTTCTATTAAAAAATTGTAAGTCAAAGGTCAAATCTGCCATTCACTGCACTTTATTAATGATGCCCAGCGACTGGTAGAAATTGTTACTATATTTGTGTTTTAGTTTACTATTGAAGAGGGAAGATTAACCAAAAATTCCTTTCTGGCTACTCTTATGGATTTTAATGACTTACATTTTTCTTTGTATTGTAAGAGGGGTTTAAACCTCAAAACCGCTCTTGGCTGCGCTCATCAAATTTGTTGACTGTATTTTTCCTTCAGATTTTTTTTTATTGGAGAGGTTTCAACTTCAAAACTCTCTTGGCTACTCTTATGCATTATTTCCAGTATTTGAAACAAAAAACAAAATCATGCTGATTCTGAGGTACCTACAGTGCATTATCCTGCTACTCTTCTAATAAAAAAATTGTTAAGTCAAAAACAAAATCTGCTATTCACAGTCACGGCCCAGCGGCTGGTACATATTGATAAGTATAGTTTTACTGTAGTTTTTTTTTACTGGACGAGGGAAGGATAACTCATGTAGGCTCTACACTCTCATGGATGTAGTATTTGTAGCTTGGTTTTTCCTTTCATGGTAAAGGTTATAGCGGGTCAGCGCCTCAACTACACTCTTAGCTACGCTCATGGAATTTACTGACTAGTTTTGTTTAGATTTTGTTATCGAAAAGGGAAGTTTTATCGTGAAAAGTATATGGAAGGGAGGTTTTAAACTCAACCCCCCCCCTCCGGCTATGCTCGTAGAATTAGGTGACTTTATTTCACTTTAATATTGAAGAGGGTGGTGTTCCTAATCTCAAAACGTTGGGGGGGGGGGGGGGGGGGGGTTAAACTCGAAAACCCTCTGGCTGCACTGGTGCAAGTGATGGTTTTATATTAAAATATCACCTACAATAAACCAAATTACAAGAAAAAACAGTCACAAAGTTCCACCTCCCACTGGGGGAGGATTTCATTTCAGGGCAGGGGGTTTGAAAGCCAAATCCCCACCCCTGGCGACACCCATGTTCCATTTTCTGGTGATCACAAATGTCTATGACCACGAATGTGTATCTAGGATTGGCCTCTTTAATCACATGAAAAGATGCAAAGGGAATGGTGCAACATTTTAAAATTTTACTGTCAAATTTTAAATGAAACATTTTGTAGTAAAGAAAAAAAAAAACCCAACAAAGTTTATATTGCCGAAATATTTTATTGACTTTTATTAAAAGTAACACCTACTTTTGACATCAAATACAGGAATGGCTTCATTTTTACATACACAAAATCTGGCCTAATGATCCAGAGCTAAACACATTTTGCCAATATTCCCAATGGGGCTCACCAAATAATAAATATAAATAGCATGAATTACTTAATATGAGTAAAACAAGTGAAGTTGGTTCAAAGTGACACAGTATTGTATTGTACATAGTTGTTTTAAATTTGTACACAGCATACACAGTACATGGACAGACTTGTTCATCCACATGAACACACTTATGTACATATACATGGACATATGAAACTGAATAGTGAACTGATTAATTTAAAACAAATCATTTAGATCTAGTATCTTCTATGGTCCATAGAGTATCCATAAAATCACTGACCTGTAAACAACTCACCTACACATCATTAAAATAATGGATTAACATGAGGCATTGAGTATCGCAAGTTATAGCCTTGCACCTGCCAACTTAAAAAAAAAAAAAGAACAAATCAAATCCCATTCACACTGGAGTTCTGGCTGTAAAAACAAGATGAACAAGAAAACTGAATACAAGGGAAATAAAGCTGTCCAAGATGATATTTCAATGAATTCAAGCACAGGGTTAGGGGCTAGTGGATGGACTAGACCAAATGCTAATAGTACACATCTCCTTCTCATATCTTGTCAATGCATGAAAAAACAACAACACATTTCCTTGTTTGCCTACAGTCAAGTTTCTACCAGGAAACAGAATTCAGTCAGCTTAGAAAAAGAGCAACATGAGTTGAGAGCCCAGCACATTATGTAAGTCTTGATGCACTAATCATACTGTCTTTAATCTCAATAGTATTTTAATGGTGATAAAAAAATAGAACAACCCATCTCCAAACACAGAAACTATTAATGCAAAGTCACACACACACACACAAAACAGACCCGTCAAATATCACAGACTAATGATGAACTAATTGATAAGTATAAATTGTAGACACATTCTATCTCTAGATCACACTTACCATAAACACTTGTCATTTCTTTCATTTTACTTTAAAAACAAAACAAGAAGTGATGAAACTCTTGATAGATTCCAACAGATTGAACTCACTTAGCTGGACATACAACCAACACAAATGATATACAATAGAACTTGTTCACAACATAACATAACATTGAAATTATAAAAAGACCAGGATGATATCATTTTTTTTACAATTTTTTGTATCAATAAAGCATTTGTGTGTGTATAATAACACAAACTATCAAGACATCTCATATGAACAAGAAAATTGAATACTGATTTCCATTTACAAGTAGTCTATTAGAAAACAACAACTAAGAAAAACCTATATTAGACCAGCACAATGTTTGCAAGTAAACTGGTTCTGTTGTAAATGTATAGTTTGGTTTTCTATAGTTATAATGTTTGGTTTGGTGTAAAGCACAAATAGTAAGACAAAATGTCCTTATAGATAATATGGATTATTATTATTAATATTGTCAGCTCATTTGACCAGAAACATGCTTCTTAGAATGTATAATCACTTAACATGAAAGAAAAATAGTTTAAGAATTATTAGAGCAGAAATAGACTTCTATGACCTTTAGCCTTCACTACAGTTTTTAGCAACAAGACATTCTGTAGTGCAATATACAACCAATATACAACAAAATGAAGTAAATAGCAACGATTTTAGAATGATAGGTCTGAAGTCTTTATATCATAGAGGTTCATTATGAGCAACTGTTTGAGCATTTGTTAAATTATCTATTTTGTTGGTCATATGTTACTCTGGTGATGTAGTACACTCAAATCATTAGTTATTTCCAATTTCTAGTTGGGTTTATCTGTGCCATTGAATGAATGCACCAAATGAAACACACTTTCCTGTAATAATGTAGCGAGTGTTGCAAAACTACCTGTAATTATCAACATGACATGACATCTAATAAATGAACTTAATGGAATGCTTATGAAATTTAAGTTTATCCCCCCCCCCCCCCCAAAAAAAATCCAAGATTATGATGGAGATTGACACTTATTCTGCACAATAAAACTTTAGAAAAAAATTAACTTTTTAGACATGTGAAAGAGGGCAAGATCAGAAGATTAACAATGAAACACTGGCTAGGCCTCACAAGCTATTTAACACAAACACAAACACTGACTAGGCCTCACAAGCTATTCAACACAAACTAATTGCCCTTGTGGTCTACTACTACGTAGCTCATCCAGTCAAAATACAAGCAAACAGGAGTCAAAAAAAAAAAAAGGCTGCAATTGAAGCCAAAATAATTTTGTCACCCTTTTTAAAAAAATACACCAGAGAATGCTAAGCAGACTTCAAAAGTTTGTGCAGACCTAAAAAGCAGCTTGAGCTGATGTTGTGAGTCCTGTGACATCTTTCATGACAGAGTGTCAATCCCTGTTTGAGGATATTAACTCAAACACATCCATAGTGCCGCCAGACAGATCTAGTTGAAGAGAATAGACTCTGGGTCCTGGTTCCTCAGCTGAGCAATGTGTCGAAGGACATCTTTCTTGGTGATGATACCAAGCAGGCGGCTGTGTTTCAATAATAAAAGCTAATGAAATACACTGGTCTCAGAGTCAAATATCATAACCATCACACAATCTAATTATTTTCATATCAAAAATAGGATGGAATTGCAGGGGACAATTAGTAGAAAGTATAGAAAAAAAAAGTGATTACATCAGTGTTACATTAATAGTGATTCCCTCCCCTACTTTTATCCCTAACAAAATGCTAACCATTGAGCTTCTATTTTATAGAACATGTCTGGTAAATAAATCAAGGAATTATAGAAACGGGGCAAGAGGCAAATCTCTATTCAACAATTTAAAAAAAAAAAGTTCTCTTATAATAGAGACATGAAAAAATTCCAATATCAAAACATTATTAGTAGACAGCCCATTGATTTAATATCTCTAAATGTTCCAGCTACTCTAAGAAACAAAAGGTACTCACGAAAATGTTGCAATGACTTACCCATTGTGAGTGACCAATGTTTGTCTAAGTCCCAATTTCCTGAACATTTCCACTACTGTCTCCATTGGTGTCTGGTCAGTGATGGTCACTGGAGCCTGTAGAAAAGGAAATACATATTCAAACATTTAAACATAGATGAATAATATCAGAAATACCAAAACCCTGCCCCTGTGATTTCCTTTCAAACCTTACATGATGTGCTGATCAAAGAGTTTCATTTTTTATAAATGTGACAAGCAAAAACTAAACTTCTATGCAGAACCAAGAATGGGGAGAGAGAGTATCACAATGGTCAGAAACATAAACTTTGGTTTTATTATTTGACACTATCACACTGATACTTTCCACTTGAAGTATTGTGTGTGCTTATTTAGGACATGATTCAAGCTGGTCATATTTCAATAGTCAATTTCCCAAAGTTTGACTTGTGTGGATGTATTCTCACTTCCTGGCAGATGTTTGGATATTGTGCCTCTAGAGTTGCTTCTAGAAATACAAGATTACAATGACCATGCAAAAGCCAGAGACAATTATGTAGGAAACCTAACTAGCAAAACTAACAAGATTTCTCTAAATGTCTTTGTCAATGTAAGAAGTAGGTGGGGAAAGAAATAAGTACAAATCCTAGTGTACAGTGGACATGGTTTAATAGTAGCAATTGAGGCCTGGACTAAGAAGTGACCAATCATCAGAGAATGCATGAACACTGACCTGTTGCCATGTCATACAGATCTGTAACGTGGCAAGAAGCTATTGGTCTCCATTGCCCAGAGGTTGCAATGCAGCAGGTCAGTGTTGAGACATTCTATAACGAATGGTCTCAACTAAGGTCACAGAATCTACTCAGCTTTACACATTAGTTTAAATAAAATTAAGCCATTGTGATGACATTGATTTCAAGTAAAGCAAGTGTAATAATAACACTTAAAATTGCTACTTGGCTCTAACATAAAAAGCACTTTAAAAAACAAACAAACAAATATCTTAGGGGTAAGTAACTAAAATTATATTCAAAACAAGTCACTGACCATGTCTAAAATTTTTCTCAATTTCAGTGGTGCTGGTCCATTGGGGTCAACTGGGACATGTCCAGTAAAATAGATGATAGAGTTACTGACCACACCTTCTGATGTTTTGCGAGCATTGGCTAAGAAAAAAAATAAACAGGAAGTTCGTTTAAAAAGAATAAACTTAATTTAATTTAATATAAATAGTAACATTATCAATAATTATAAAAAAGCATCAAACTTACCAATTGCTAGATTGAGATCCCTTCTAAGCACAAACCCTACCAAATATTGAGACTCCCTGGAGACCACCACAGGAAATCCATTATGCTCTGTATTCCTCAGTAGACTCTCTAGTCACACAAAAAATTGAGATAATTGACTAAGGTTGGCATTTTAAAACGTAAATCTGGATGTGTTTACCAATTAAGTCTTAGTCCTTAAATTCAAAGAACAGAAACTAGTGCCCTAAGATAAATGACTAAAGAAAACATTTTCATTTAAATTCTCTTTTTATGTTCTGGCAGAGGGAAATCAAATAGTATAACATAATTGAAAGGAAAGAAATATAATTATTTAATATTAATATTATTTAATAATAATTAGTTAATAATACAAGTCTTTGATAATATTTACAAATATGTCTACACATAAAAGACTAACTACAGTTAAGGGAAAAAAAGCTAACTAACAATTAAATCAACATATACACTCACCAGTTTCTTCCACTGTCATAGAGTCCTGTGTGATGACTGCCAGTGGGGGATCATTTCTCCTGTGTAGAGGTCAAGATAGAATATTGATGAAAAAAAGTTTTTACAGAAACCAAAAAGTCTCAGGAAAAGACTTAATTTTTTTTGGTTTCATTATTAAAAACTTAGGAGGTATAAGAACTAAAGTGGGAGGTGAGCCAAGTCATAAGTCAAGGTATGGTTAAGTCACAAGTGAAGGTTTGGCCAAGCACAGTCAAGGTCTGGCCAGATCATAGTATGACCACCTCACAAATTCTCAGAAAATGTAAAGACTTTCAGAAAAGGTACAGTAGCAGGAAAAAGAAATGAAGGCAGGAAGGTAAATAATGAACAGACTTCACTGTTTGTGAGATTCTAAGGTAGGACTGGAAGAAATAAGTGAATAGAATACACGTCTTCATAGTTCCATAGACAAGTGACGGAATTTTTCAAAAGACTTTATGATTGGTTAAGACAATGAACTAAAATGAATCTATTTTGGTAAATTAATAAATGTAGATATGAGCTAACAGAATAAATAAAATACTTTGAGAATGATTTTATTAAATGGAAACAAATAAATTAAGCATTAAAAGGAATTTAATTATTCATACATTGAACAAGAAGTAGACTAGCAATTTAAAGCTTTTTATTCACAATATTAAAATGTTGAAGTTAGTGATAATTATATTTTATTTTTAAGAAAACATTCTCATTCATAAAATTATTGAAATGTAATACATACATTTTAGAAGTTTATAATTTTATGATTTCCAGTAGATACATAAAAACAAACAACTAACTACTCCAACAGTACTGAAGTTCTATGTGCTGACAAAAAAGAAATTGCTATACTGTTCTTGATGACTGTACAATTAACACTGACACAAAGTAGATACTGTAGATAAATATCTTTATGAAAGTCCTTTAGCTAATGGATTTTATTTTTGTAATAACTAAAAGTTTATCATGAGCACAAAAAAAAATTGAAAGCCAACTAAAAAATAATTGATGACTTTATGTAAGCAAATATTTTAAAAAAAGCAGTGCATTAAGTTTTATTTTGTGAAGCTTGATTAGAAATCAAACTGATATACATGCTATAAACCTATCACAATGTTAACGTCTATTGCCATCAATCCTCAAACTATGTAGAGTGTTGGATTCAGAGAAGCCAATGTTCCCCATTTTAAAATACTGGATTAAAACCTTGTGGTTACATGACATTTTTCCATACAGTTGAGTATAAGTCTGGGACAGGAATAATTTAATGAATTATTATCACTTTTTATTAACTAAGGCAGTGTTTCCCAAACTGTGTTCCATGGAACACTAGGTTTACACCAGGCCTGAATAGGTGTTCCACGAACTACTGGAATAATTAACTAGTAAGTTCTTCTTGAGAATAAAATAAATTCTTTAACATGTCTATGAACTTTGAACTGATCTAGATTCTGAAACTCATTTGAAACAAAGATACACTAAAAGATCAACCATTAAATATGAATCACAATATTTTAAAACAAGCTATCATTGTTGCTTATTTGTTCTTCAGTTTCCTACAACCTTTTGTTTGAGGACAAATTTTCTTATGTTGCAACAAAATCAAAGTCTAGAAGATTGATATCAATATATATATATTGTTAAAAAGTTTTATACTTGGAAAAAAAAACAACTAAATTGATAAAATGGCTGAAAGTTTTTTTTATTTAATACTCTAAATAAAAAAAAAGCAAAGTGTTCCGGTAAATACTCAGAATGTGTGAGAAATGTTCTGTCAAGGAAAAAATTTGGGAAACACTGGACTAAGCTAAAATTAAAATCAAACTAAATTAAAAGACTTGGCAGAGTAACTGATTGGGTGATAACTGGGGAAAACGTGTATAGAATGTTTTTGTTATTCTCATTTGTTACATAGAATTAATTATCATTGGTGTTTGAAAAAAATACATTTTATAAATATTTAAAATAGCAACTTTAATGCAAGTGAAAATTATTAATAAGGCAGCATTGTCCCATAATTAGATAAAACATTGTCAGAGAGGAAAAGCAAGGGAAGGTAATTATATCCTACACACAATGACCTTTAAACAATTAAGATTACTTGATTCTAGATTTGTTTAAAATAAATTTGAAGATCTTAATTAAAAAAAAACCACTATTATAATACACTACATTTTGGATGGGAAAAACTTTTCAACAAAATGATCAAATAGCTTGAAATATGAACATCATTACACTACATTTTGTTTCTGTGAAAATTGGGCCACATGCAGTAAGTACTGTCTAACATTTATATTGGTATGTAACTTCTATGCAGACAACACACACATGAGGGTCCTAGACTTGTGTACAGTGATATATAGAGTCAGAAAACAATTTCTCAACCAAATGAGTACATGGGATTTGTAAACAGATGGGAATTCATTGCATTAGATTAATAAATTGACCAACAATAAATAGGTTTTACTGTGCTTACTTTTAGGGACAGAATTTTACATGACCTCATATACTTTGAGAGATA